AAATCTGTCCAGCGAGCAAGTTTAATGCCAAGGCAACAACTAAACTGAACTGATACCGAAGCCTAGCGTGACTGACATGAACGAGTCCGCCCGGTACGGCTTCTATCCATTTTTTCCCTTCATTCACTCACCACATACTTCACCAGACATGTCTACACTATTAACCAAATCATCCAAAATGGCCTGGCTCTTCATCCAGCAGAACAAAGTCATTTGTCTACTTTCGGTCAGATAAGGTGTCACTAGGAAGCATGTCGATGCCGTTTTCCTCCAGAATCATAACTATCGTACAGTTGAACTAGAAAGAGAAAGGACCATTCTGACAAACACAGCATTCCGCGATGGACTCAGGCAAAAAATACTCCAAAGCTTTGAGTCCAAATTCTAAAACGCGGAAATCTGTGCCGTTGGTATATCGATAGACGGATAGTGTCAACATAAGGTGTTCCATTTGCCATCATAACTCATGGGATAGAGTAAAATCGCGCAAAATGTCAGCCCCGCTTTGCAATTGACAGAACTTTCACTCGGGTTATTTTTCACTGTAGAACTGAATCCCTGATAATCAAATTTAGAGTGAAATCCGAACCCCGAGCGTGGACGGATATGAAGAAAAATTTGAAATGGGCAATCGCAGACGAAAAAGCGAATAAACAGGGACTAAGACACACCGTATACCAGGTTAACGGAGATGAGTATCGAGGAGAATGGAAGGACAATAAGCGCCACGGTAAAGTTTAGTATATTTTTCATTCCCAAAAACTTATTTAAAGGTCGAGGAATATACAAATGGAAAAAGACAAACGTGCTGTACGAGGGGGATTGGGAGAACAATATGCGATCCGGTTCTGGTGTTCTCAGTGTGTTGTGTGACAGAGGGAAGCAGGTGAAAATATATTCTGGTGAATGGAAAAATGACAAGAGACATGTACGTAAGTCGGTCTACGTTTTCTTCTATCCCCGCGACAATAGGGATTCGGTCAGAACTGGTATTCGGATCAGGAAATTTATGAAGGTGAATGGTGTTCCGATAAACGATGGGGATGGGGTCGAATGTACTATATTGATGGAAGTATTTACGAAGGTCAGTGGATTAATGACAAACGATGCGGAGATGGAATGCTACGATTGCGTAAGCGATCGGAAATTCTAATTTTGTTTAGCAAACAACAATCGTTATGAAGGAAAATGGGCAAATGACAAAAAGAACGGACGAGGAAAATATTTCTTTCTTGGAACCGGGCAACTGATGGAAGGAGTTTGGGTGGATGATGTACCGAAATGCTGTCAGATGGTTGATCTGGGTCGTGAATTAGCTATCGAAGGAACTGAGTTTGAAATACCTGAGGTGAGAGATCCCACAATCACTTTTAGTGACCCTTGCAGATGATTTTTTATGATGAACAAACAATGATTAACCAACGGGCTTAAATTTTCATTTTTTAATGAACGAAAAAGAAGCTAACCACCAAAAAGCCAATGCCAAGTTTATATATAAATTAAGAACTGAAGCAGAGATTACGGGCAGGCTGAGAAATGGATCATTTTTCCACAGTTTGTGCCTACATTTTTACTGTCGCCATTCAGTGGATGTTATGTTATTCTGATAAGTGCAGAGATGCACGTCCATGCCAAGTGTATTGACCTAAGACGTTCAAAGATAGGGGTAACTCCAGTAAGATGAATAAAATGGTTAACGTTCTGGACTCCGATCTCGCAATTTTCCTTTCTTCCCTCTGATCTTTTATCTAAATGGACATCAACCAAAACCGGCGGATGAAAACGCATGGTTAATGGTAGCAAAAATTGAAACTAGACGAAGACATTTTGGGTTCCTAACACCAGATGCACGTATATAATCGCATATTGACCCTGGAGCAACACCACGAAATTGAGTCGTATGCAAAAGGAATATCCCATAACATAACAGTTAGCTACCATTAGTTAATTCCGAAGAACTGTGGCTTGCAAACGGAAGCAGGGGAGCCACAGTGAACACTGAACAATGAAAACGAGCTTGTTTGTCAATTTGTGTTCTCATTATGAGCTCCGCAAGACTGTTTAAACGTTTAAAATTAATTTGGTCCATCATCATCATCATCCTCGTATGAGATACAGTAAAGCGAACTTCGTTGATCGCTGGCAAGCTCACAAAGCACGCGAATTAAATGATAAAGTACAAGATGGAGAGGGGTTAGGCTTCATTGGATGGTGGAAAAGAAACTGAACCTCTGCAGTCAGCACACAGAATTTAAAACCTAACTGTACATACACACCTTTTCTAGCATTCTGACCTGATAAGAAAGGACAACAAGAACGCCATGGTTAGCTGCCAGCTAACCAAGCAGTTACAGTCTTTTGGGCCCCGAAATACAAGAAGGGAGACACCTAACCAACTGGATGGCTCTGTGCATTTGTTCATGCCCCGTTTCCACGTCATCTGTTGGCCTCCACGAGGTTTCTTCCCAACTGGAGACGCGACTGCAATTAGGATGCAATCCGATAGACGACAGCTGGGCATGAGCAATATGTGTCTCAACCAGTGAAGCTGACTAATCTGAATTCGCTGAGACAACGAATTCTCCATCAAATCATTACCAAATACGCGCAGGCTTACCTCAAAAACACACGCTGGTTTCGTCCCCTGATGTGTCACTTTGAAACAAAGAAAACGTGCATATCGAAGAAACAATGTGTACAAAATCGAATGATTGAACATGGACATCACAAACGATTGTCGCGTATAATTCTTAGGGTGCGCACAGCATATCACGTTCAAGTGTAATTTACCTCATCGTTCCGAGGTCAAAACAGACCCTGAAATGCAACTAGGGTGAAAGCATAAGTGGCTGTAAACTACATCGAAAAATCCCGCTTTGCTTGACTGTTAACACATTGAACAAGGTGCACAGACACACCAGATGGGCAACGTGGAACACTGGATGTACCATTCAGTAAAATTAGGTGTACATTGACAAAATATAAGTAAAAAAAGCAAAAAAGAAATCAGGCACGAGGGCTGAGCAAAAAAGCTTTATTCGTTACACAAAACAAGGTACTACATTTTATCTAAGTTTTCTCCACCAGCGTTCACGCAGTTCCTTGAGCTCCAACTATTTGGTGAAACAGCTCGACGACGCAGAAGCGGACAACCCTTCGACCAGTTCAATAGAGGCCTCCGCTGCAGCTGTCAGTGACTAGTATCAGATTAGGAACATCATGCGCTCGATATCTGGGAGCACAGTGCTTCTTGAAGTTGCGTCATCACCGAAGCAGCTCGTGAACGATCAACACTCCGCTGCTGTAAACCACATTTGTAGTCGTATAAAATCATCGTCCACATCCAGTGATACCGACTGAGTTCCATTTTTACAACAGACCGAGTATAGCGACCCTTGTATGATTTGTGAGCTGTGTTCATATTTGGTTCTGAGTGAGTTGCAATCACTGAATAATATGCACCTTAGTAGATTACAGTTTACGATTTCTTTGCTCGGTCGTCCGCACCTCCTCGTGCTCGGCGTGTACTGATTGCGTATGTCGGAAACGCTTTTTTGCTAAGCCCAACTATTATGAGGCATTGATGAAAACCAGTCATGTTTCAAAGTTATGCCTGACATGCATTGTTTTACCTCGCACTAACTGTTTTCACTTCTCAGCATACGATGCACAAAGATTGACGAAAGGCACATGGGCAGAATTTTTCGCTTCATTATATACAGTACGCAATTTCGGCGTCTACGAAATAACAGTTACCTAAATAAATATCTTTGCTCTATTGTTCTGTTCTGATTTGCAGATCAAACTGGAAGATCCCAACGGAGTACTGCGAGAGACACAGGAACAATTATTGACCAAACTTCCGAACGAATAGGACGGAAACAGCATACATTTCTATGGTATTACGCTGCCATGGGGCAGCTTTCATGTCACACGTCAAATTCAAAACTCAGAGCATTATTCACAAGCCCAAGAACATTTACATATATATATATATATATATAATATCATATACACAAAAAGGGGGCACGTAAAAGGCAGGCAACAGATGATGATAAAAGACCAATAGTTGCCGGTAGTAGCACGCAATAAGCTGGATTGGGACAGAAAGGTCTTGCGGTATGACCCTATTTGTACATACCAAAGAATGAGATGTGTACATGCACAAACGAATGCTATTTCAAGAGGGGAAGGGGAAAAGGGCTTTATAACAAACAATAGGTAACAATAGGCAACAGACAGTATTGCAGAGAGCGGGGAGAGTGGGATAATTTGTTAGTCAATCGGTGTTATTCCAAATCGCCCAGACAGAGTGGTTTCGTTAGTCCGTGTGCATCGGGGAATCTCAAACAATATTTCGCATCACGTAAAAATTTGACCGTCAATAATCGACCTGAAAGAACACAGAAAATGCAATCGGGAAGATGATGAAGTCCAATCCAACCGAGTAGACATGCACAACATTGGCACTTAACTAACAAGTGAACTGAAAATTAGTCTGAAGACATATCATATCAGCCGAAAAGAACACGATTGAACACGCGGTGGAGGTGAAGGTTCCCTTGGAGCACAACCAGAATTAGTTGGCCTGGCATCATAAAATACAAAGGAAACTGAAACAAAGGGTTCGACGTTTAAAAACAAACAGACGAACAGGACTGTGTTAAGACTTGAAAGCCATCATCATCACACTAAGGAGCACTGTGTTGAATTAAAAAAATGGATGTTTGAGCCGTATAAAGATAACCGATTTATAACTTGGAACGACCTGACCGCGCACAGAGATGAAAACTCTCAATGACCGCAAGTTCTGATAATACATCCAGACCCCCAAGTACAACACAGGAAGAAGTAAGACCTATTCCGAAACTGTGAGAAAAGATAGTCTTCAGAAACGAAACTAATCAAGCAATTTATTTGGAACTATCACGAGAAATGAACCACGCTGTTCGATGAACGCAAAATTGCTTGCATTTTGCGACCAATCATAATCGTGCATCAATCAAACAAAACGTGAAAATACACCCCTCAACAAAAGTATTATCCCTTCCTGGATTTTCAGATCCCCTCCACTCTCATATGCAGGACCATCGACATTTGAGGATATCACC